GGCGCGGCGCGGAGGGGGTTAAGCGCGGCGGCAGCCCCGGGGGGCTTGGCCGCGGGACAAGGAGAAATGCTTACACAGCACATTGCGCGGGCGACGTAAACAAAGCTGACCCGCCGCGGACCTCGGCGCGGGCGGGGACGGCGCCCCCACCCCGGCCCCCTCTTGGGTTCCCCTGCCGACCCCGCCCTGACCGGCTGCGCGCGCTGTCGCCCGCAGATTTCTTCGCCAAGCGCAAGAGACCCGCGCCCGAGGCCAAGGCGTCGAACGAGGTTCCCGCGGGATGCGCCGCCCCAGGCGCCGCTCCAGCCGTAGGCTCGGCGGAGCAGACCCCGCGCAAGCGGCTGCGATGAGGTGGGTACGGCCCCGCGCGCGCTGGGCGGGAGGGGTCGCCCCGCGGGGTCCTCGCGGCCACCCTGTCTGTCTGCTGTCGCTCACCGCGCCTCTCTCCCGCAGCGTCGCGCGTAAAGAGCCCTGAGGGAGCCCGCTGGGCAGCGGACAGGACAGGAGCGCGGGGCCTCGGCTGGGACCGTCCATGTAGCAGCAACCGGCGGCAGCTGCCACCGAGCAGCGTTCGGTTTCGTGTTTAAAATTTAAAAAAAAAAAAAACTGTGCAATGTATTAATAACGTCTTTTATATCTAAATGTATTCTGCACGAGGAGTACACTGGTCCCAAGGTGTAAAGCTTTAAGAGTCATTTATATAAAATGTTTAATCTCTGCTGAAACTCAGTGCAAAAAAATGAAAAAAGAAAAAAAAAAGGAAAAAAGAAAAAAACATGTATATTTGTACAAAAAGTTTTTAAAGTTATACTAACTTATATTTTCTATTTATGTCGAGGCGTGGGCCGCTCTGCCACGCGATAGCTCGGTTATTGGTTATGCCAAAGGCACGTCACCGCATCTGGTTATCGACAAATGTAAATTTATTTTTATAGCGGACTCTGGGGGGAGGGGGTCGCTCACAAGCTGTAGCTGCCGTACAAGCCCATCTAGCTAGCAGTTCTCTTCGCGCTTTCGCTGTCTCTTTTTATTATTATGATTATTTTAAACTTGAAGACAAATTTGTTAACATGGTTCCTGAGCCGTCTGCACCACTGCCCCGGCCCCTCGTCCGCCGGGTTCTAAATAAAGAGGCCGAAAAACGCTGCAAGTCAGCTCCGTGTGTGCGTGAACTGCCTCCAGCCTCCTTCTCTGGCACCCCCAGAAGTTAGGGAGATAGGACAGCGGACACAGGGGGCAGCCCAGCTTCTTTTTAGGCCACCCGTCCCAAAGCGACAGGGACTTTCTCCTGGTAGGGCAGGCCCACCACCACCTGCTGCAGGCCCCTAACTTAGGGATGAGCGGCCCCGCCCTCTCTGTCACCCCTCCCTCCCGCCCCCCTCACGTGCGGGGCTGTGCGTCGATACTGGGGGGGCTCACTGCTTCCCCTGTTCCAGGGAAGCCACCCACACTCCAGCCGCCCTGGGCTGAGCCCCGATGGGACTCAGGTGGGCACTTGCGGGGGCTGGGCCAACGCCCATCCCCCCCCCCCCCCCCCCCCCC